ATCTAGGGCTCCTCCTTTGCTAATCACCAGCCTGACAGACAACATGCTCCACACTGAGGGCCCCTACTACTTAGACCACTATTCCTCAAAAACAGGAAGCAAGCTGACTCCTGGAAGGAGTCTTCACCTATACAAATGCTATGTCTGAGTTTCAGGCCCCAGAGCCTTGAAACTTTTGAGGCATACGGTTGTCAGAAAGTTTCATTCGTGCTGACAAATATTAAGCTTGTAACAGTAAAACACAACTGAAAACACTACTGCCCAACAAGTTCAAGTGCTATCAAGTGACTGGCTTCTGACTGTGAATAGCCAAGATGCATCTGAGTAAATTAAAGCAACTCCAGACTCTGTTTGAATTAAATCCTATTTCTTAACCACAGTCTCATTCCAAACTCTTCCAGCAATCTTACCTAGTCTCACAGGAAGTGTACCTTTAAATCTGAGCAGCTTAAACTTCTTGCTTCAAAGCAACTTGAGTTCCTGCTAAGTCAGTTCAACAATTTCTGGTGACAAGAGAAAAAAAGTTAAGTTTTGCCCAGCGTATCACAGACTGGTTGAAGTTGGAAGGGATCTCTGGAGACCATCTTGTCCACCCCCCCTGCTCAAGCAGGGCTACCTAGAGCACGTTGCTTATGACCATGTCCAGATGGCTTCTGAACATCTCCAATGTGGGGGACTCCACAACCTCTCAAGCCAACCCGTGCCAGCGCTCAGCATCCTGACAGTTTAAAAATAAAGTGTTTACTGACGTTCAAGGGGAACCTCCTGTATTTCAGTTTGTGCCCACTGCCTCTTGTCCTGTCACTGGGCTCCACTGAGAAAAGCCTGGCTCTGTCATCTCTGCACTCTCCCTTCAAGTATTGATATACACTGATAAGATCCCCCTTGAGCCTCCTCTTCTCCAGGCTGAACAGTCCCAGCTATCTCAGCCTGGCCTCATGAGGGAGGTGCTCCAGTCCTTTCACCAGGTTCTTGTTCTGGGGAGCCCAGCACTGGACAGTGTTCCAACTGGGGCATCACAACTGCTGAGCAGAGGAGAAAGATCATCTCCCTCAACCTGTTGGCAACTCTTGTCCTAGTGCAGACCAGCAAGGGCAACATCTCGGAAGTTACACAAGTAGCTACATTTAAGTTGCAAAAGAGTTGGAAGTGCTAGACTGAAAGTTTCTCTGTACAACCCTAACTCAGCACATATAAAAAGACTGATCCATGCTATGTGACAAAATCATGTCCCCCCAGCCATTTGGGTAAGCACCGTAACAGGCAAATTAAAAGCCAAGAGGATGATCAGAAACCAGCTTCCTGATTTTTTGAAAACTGCACTGGGAAGATCAAGTTCATTTAAGTTGCTGGGCACTTGGCAATTCCCAAGACAGTTAAGTCTTAGTAAAGTGATTCTTGAACACCTGGAAGAGCAAGCACCACAGAAAATCCACACTGCACTGAGCACAGAAGAGCCTGAACAGTGCGAGCTAAACTCTTGAATGAATGAGACTGAAGTTGCTCACTGCCATTCATCAGGCAGGGTCTTCCAAAGCATTTAATATAAGCTCCATGCTTCATTAGTCATAAAACACAGTGGGGAAAAGCAGGAGGGGACAGAGCAAGTCAGGCTGGCCTTCAATGAAGAAGTACTTCAGTTCATACTAAACTCTTGCACATCCACTTGCCAAATTCAAGAGAAAGTGGAATTTTCCCAAAAATGGCCAAGAAGCTATAATCATGTTAGAACACTTTATTCCCCTGTTTAAGGCAGAGATTCTTATTTATGCAGACTTTGAGGCAACATTTTTAATTTAAGCCTATGCATTCTGCTTAAGCTTTGGAGTTTAAATTAACCACCAAGATGTGTTTAAGACTGTTTTGAGATTATTTATTCTGCAATATGTATTCTTTAAGGAACACTTCAGAATTAATACAAGCAAGTTAGCTATTCTACTGAGACACTCAGTGCTGTTCTCCCAATTCTTTAGAACCTATTTTAACAAGCCTAGGAGGGACAGACACTTAGAAAGACAGAACAAAAACCCAAGATGCTAGTCATCTCTATCATAGCCAAGATCACTTTACCAAGTTGCTTACAGAAGGAGAGAAACTTCTTTATTTAGCAGTCTCATAACTGCTCCAATAGCCTCCACACTCTAGCTTTCAGTACCTTACCCAGCAAAGGGGGCAAGAGTAGGCTCCCAGGTCAGACATCTGAGTGCCATCCGGAACAGCCCACCATCCTCCAGAGCACAAGGAGCCAAAACCCCTACCTTTACCACTTAACTAGCATGATTAAGTAGCACTGACATGATTTTTCAGTCTTTCCAGCAAAAAAGTGGCATTATAGATTAAAAGGAAGTCACTGCATACTCACCTTGCAGGTTAGGGTCAAAAACATGTTTGTGTACTATGCAATAATTGCAACATAACATCTAGCCCATGTGAGCTGCTGACAATGCTGCGTACCAGAAGCCTCAGGAGGAGAAAGCTATGTACAATAAGGTGTTTCCTAGAATAACTGCTTCTAGTCTTCCCTGATTTCTCTATCAGTAAAGTACACTTTTTTTATAGCTGTGTTCTAGTTATCTGCTTACAGATTTTAAAGTCAAACAGCTTGCTCCCAATAGCATTCCCTTTTAAAAAGTGGCACTATTTAGGAAATACTCTTAACAAATCTACACTAAACATACTAAATTGATGCTTTGGAAGGGATGTAAGCTTCATGCCGAGTTACTTGAAGTCTTGATATTCACTTTTAACTACATAACCCAACAGCTTTTCCTACTAGCAATACATTTATTCTTTGATAAGGCTAATGAAACAGTTACTAGAGAGCTGAAATAGCCCCAAAGTCTACAAAGACAGTGCTAAACTGACTAAAAACAAGATCTCTACCCTAAATGATTGCAGTTGCCTTTGTGGAACTTCTTTATACTTGTTCAAGATAGGAACGCTTCTTTTAAGCATTAGCTCTTGCCTCTTATTAAGTTGAGGTCTGCTTTCTGACCAGACATCCCTGTTGTTTCTGAGGGAAGTATTCTGAATTTCTACAAAGTCTCCCATAAGAATTCCTTTTGCTGCCTTTAATTCCTCCATGAAATGAACGCTGAGGGAACTCTGACAAGATTGTTTTCTCACTGGTCACATCTGTATGTGTTTTGTGCTGCATGAAGGAGAGTTTGTGCATTCACATGTATGCTTCTGCAATGAGTGAAAAGCGACCAGCAATAGAAAGACATCTAAGCTCAAGGAGCATACTTTAAGAGGGAGATGGGGCAACAACAGGGGCCAAGCAGCACAGAATGGCCATGTTGATCCCACGGCTTACTCTAAAAAAAAAAAAGTGTTCAAGGCAGAGAAGGAGATGGAGATGTTAAGAGCATACTGCAACTGTATTTGGGTTGAAAAATTAATGTTAAGATGTATTCTGCGAGTGATTAAAGTTGACAGCCATTAACAGGCTGTCCACTGATGCCCTTAACTAGCCTCTTAAACTCATGGTCAATCTTTTTCCAACTGTTGTAATTCCAGTCTATCCTCCAGTGTTTTCAAACGTGCTATCACCCCATTGCCTATACAGTCATTTTAAACTCTTAAACAAATGAAATATATCATGCCACATTACATTCTCCAGCTGTAGCATTCTAACCAGTTATGCAGCAATTTAATCAAAACATAACAGATGTCAGTACTTTAGTACTAACTTAGTGCTTCCAACAGTAGCCAGTGCTTGACTGAACACATCTGTAAGGTAAGCTGTGTCAACCTGACAATCATTTTCCCTTGACTGACACCATTTCTTCAGGTCTTTCAACTCACAGTGAAGCCTTTCAGTTCCATGTAGCAGATTCACTTCTGTCAAGAGGTAAGTTAAAATATTGTCTTGCCCTTTCACCTGTTTCCACAAATGTAGAAGTCCTTAGCTGGACAAAGAAGGCAGGAACTTTTGTGAATTCATTAAAAGGGAGACAGTTATGATGTGCAATGGAGAGGTACCAGGAGTCATCTGTCTGAACCAAGAAGCAAGTGTCCAGGAACATCACATGTAACTGGAGGGAATTACAGGCAACAGGATAGCCTCACCAAGCCAGGACACAATGTGAAGGGTACTGTAATTAAGTGTGGTTATCTGCAGCATTTAATCACAAAAACAGTGAGAAGCTACAGAAATGGAATGGTCAGGAGACAGTCCACACACAGAAGAGACCAAAAGTATTCTCAATCACCATAGCTAGGCCTACAAGCCATAGATCTACACTTTCAATAGCCAGAAAAATCAGTAAAATTCAATCCTGGGTCTTCTCTCTAGGTGTTTAAAGCCTCCTATTTGCATTAAATAATATGAATAGTGCTCTACCAGGCAAAGGACATATTTCAGAGCCCACAAGATAACACAGCTTACAGAGACCAAGATATTTTTAGCTAAAAGAAAATTAAGCTAGTGCAAGCTTAAGTTTTAAAATATGTTTTAGTAGTCCATGACATTGAAAGTTTTGTTAAAAAAGTGACCAGACTTTTGATGTTTCCTTGCTTTTTTTTTTTTCAAGATGATAAAGAATCAAAGCAGGTTTACAATGTTTTCTGAAGGCCACAGCTCTTCCATTTTACTTGGTGTGCATTTTGAACATTGAAGTCTTCCATTGTCATGTACGAGGTTTAATTTTTCTCAAAGTGTTCAGACTCTGAGGCGAGGTGGCAAGATGATGTACTTCATGTAGCAAGACTTATCTGATCCACTGGCAAAGTTCAACAGTCTCCCTATGGTCACAGCAAAACTGGATGTCCAGAGCATCCTGTGCACATGAATTGGCTGCAAGCTAGACAGTCACAAGACCGAAGTAGCGACCACAGACACGGTTCACAGCAGCACTGCAGCAGTTTTAACATTCTAAATTAGACTGAAGTAGCGACCACAGACACGGTTCACAGCAGCAATGCAGCAGTTTTAACATTCTAAATTCCAATCAGTAATTCATTTCAGCAGAGTAAAATTAAATGAGCATTGGAGGTACCTTTTGAAATAGTTAGTGCTGGGGACCACTGTGATCGTAGAATATCAAGACAAATGCTGCCATTACTGTTAATATTTGGATGATAGATTCGTGTTGTAAATGCAACCTGCAGAAGAAGGAAAAATTAGTGTCGGCTCACAAATGTACATTACAGCATATGGTAATGGAATAGATTCATGACACAAGCCACTCACCTTAGGTGGTTTGAAGGGATAATCTGTTGGGAAGTGAATTGTCAAGAAAAATACTCCACCTTGATAGGGACTGTCATTCTGTTAGTGAAGAAGAATCATTGCAGTTTGAGGAGTTATTATAAGGAGACGGGTAATAAAAACCTATGAACATCTATTCTCTCATACTTACTGGTCCCATTATTGTAGCTTGCCAATGGAACACTGAAAGAGAGAAAGATTTACTTCAGTTTGGAGAAGCTAAAGTAATGAGCTACTTAATTCCAGACAATGCAGCACAGAAAAGTCTATTTTACAAACAAAGCCTTCTGAAAGGCTGCAGGGAAGCAAGCCAAAAAATTAAACAGAGACAGAGAGAGGAACTCAACGCTCCACCATTCAACTCGGTCCACACTGAGATTGCTGTGGTACCACACACATGTTGTGCCCTGCAAAAAATTCCTTTACAATAAAAATCCAGACAGTTATAGACAACATTTCAGAACAAACAAGTTTGTGAGTTCAACTTTGTTGTTTCTAATGAAGCACCTGAATCTAATCCCAGTTTCCAATGACTGCACTGCCCTCTTAGAGCAAGCTACAGCAAAAGTACAGCACGAACTCACACCTTTCTTAGGCAGGATCTCTCCTACACAGACCCTTAGTTAAATGGAGGGTAAACCCAAGCTTTGTGTATACCATATGTAAAGAGGTAACCTAAGCCAGTGTTACCTTGACTGAACGTTTAAGCTTAGTGTCCACAGACACCTCAAGATTTCATTCAAGCAGCAGAAAGCAACACCAGTCTTCAGAGCATGCAAGAATGACAGGCTGCTCAACACTTCGGACCAGGATGTGCTAGTACGCACTTCAGGTTAAATGGACAAAAAGTCTCACTCATATGCAGCTGTCCAAGAGACCATCTTTATCTGGTAATATAGAAGATTCTTGAAGAATGCCTTTAAGCTACAGAACATAAGGAAAACAATCAAAGCTGTTAATCTGTATGAGGTGTATTAGGAAGTTCTTGGTGTTCCTGTATTCTCCTAAGGCTCTAACACTAGCTTGCGCAAAGAGCACCAGCCTAACAAATTCTTCGTGAAATAGTACCATGGGAAGTTTCCCTCTGCATGGATGTCAGCTACATCGCATCTTCACAGCTGGGGCACTGTATGAAAGACTCCAGTTGTTGCAAGGTAAGTCTTCAAGACACAGAATTTGAAGCCACTGGCAGCTGTGCACCTAACTTGCAACTGGTGTCCACAGCTTTCAAGACTACCTGTGCCAACAGTAATTTTGACCCAGAGTAGCACTACTTCTAATCTAGTATGAGCAGTTTTTGATCACAGAAGGTACAGGCATTACAACTGGGAATGATCTCATACAAGGAAGGGGAAAAAAAGCAGAGTGGGAACAGCCCTGCCAATGCAAGGGGAGAAGAGCATTTAGTTAGAACAGCAGGTTTGTTACAAAGGGTATCACAGCTGGTAACACCAGCTAGCCTTTTGAGCTAGCCTCTGTGCAGAGCCAGGAAATCAAAACAGTGGCTCATGTGTTCACAGGTAGCGTTCACCTATTCTAAAAGACAGCCTCACAGGAAGTCCACATCACCTGTAGCAGGACAGTGAGAAGCCCGGCACAAGAGGACGAAGGGGCATCAGAAACCCAGCAGTGAAGGGCATGGCTAGTCACAGAAAAGACACCAAGAATTTCACAGACATCAGCAGATGCTGGTAAGATTCAAAGTGACTGTGCTGGAGCAACAGAGACAACACTGGACATTAATCTGCATACCTCCGCACACCGAAAAGAGAAGCTGATATAACCAACTATGGTCTTAAACACAACAAGAAATCAGAAACACTCTTGCACAGTGAATCTTGACATTTTACAAGCTAGAAGGGTGGTTTGGTTAGATTTTTTTTTTCCCCCCCCAGCTCCCACCCCAGATTCAAGGGAAGTGCTTGTTTAACCTAAGCTTTAGATTCTCACAATATCCAGTACAAGTCTGATGAACTAAAAGGTGGATTTGTCACACAGAACTTATTTCAACTGATTCTTTCTTTACTTTGAAATCAGCCGTTCACAAAGTTATTTACAAAGTAAGGGGGTTGCTGACTTTCAGAAGCTAAGCACAGGTACAAGCTTGGAAGTGAACTCAGCCACTGCACAGCACTCTGGAAGTATACCAGTGTAATCCAGTCCCAAGCATATTTCCAAAACAAAGGCCAGAGGTGGGTGGAAGAGGGCTAAAATTACCAGGAGAAAGAAAATCTCGTCCCTACAGTTAACAAGGCAGAAACAACTCTTCTCTCTCCAAAGTTTATGAACTACAGGGACAAGAAGCTTATAACTGAGGGCAGTTTACGTCAGCTGGACTAGCCACAAGATACCACTTTGCAAGCACAGCATGTCCTGAACTCTGAGAAATGTCATTCTGACAAGGCAACTGAAGGCAGGCCTAGAGCACATGGATCTCAGAGAAGGCATCTTTCCATTGGTGCCACTGCTATCCACCTACATACACCAGAAGTGTTGCTCTCAATAGTGAAAGTCGCTCATTAGAGGTCTTTCAGAAAGAAAGGTGGCATGAGGAAAAGAATTTGATATTACTTTAAAGATTTCTGTATTCAGCAGTAACTTTCCATTATAAGCATTCACCAACTTACATTACCACCAGATGATCTCAGTCACCTGTGATACACCCTTAGGAAACCATGAAGTAGTTTACCATGGCACAAATCACACTTGCTAATTTAAGGGGAGAAAAGCCTCAGACTGGTTCTACATCTTTGTAATTTCTCTTCCATGAAACTACAAGCTTCTTTGAAATACTATTTTGAAAAAAGAAAAAGATTGTGGAGTAACTAGAACAAGCTTGACACTAAAAACCCTCAAAACTAAACACAGCTTTCACTGGTTTGAAAGCATTGCTGAACAGTAACATCTCCACTAATTTCAGTATTTTCATTCTCAGGTTTCAAGTGCTTTTTTTAACATAGTCCTAGATTTCTATAGGAACATCTAAGTTTCTATACACTTCAGCACTTCTGCATAGTTTATAAATGACTCGGATGTTGACAGCTAATTTTTTCCTTTTAGAAAGGATACCCAAGTTTACAGTTCTTAGCACATGGATGTTTTCCTACTTCAATGTCCCCTACACTGATGAGCTCGGAGGCTCCGCAGAGCAGCACACTTGTCAGAGACCACGCTGCACAGCAAGTTCAATACATGCTGCTCAGTGGGCATCCCAGTCAAAGCTTTCAAGTGTTCTTACGTAGCCTTTTCTACAGCATA